CCAAAACCACCAATTCCTAATTAAACCCTTTATAAAACATTGCTCCTAAACAAATTTTCAAGGTAGTAGACCAGGAAGGCACCTGATCCTCAATAATAGATTTGTTTTTGGGTTCTCAATTGTGAAAAGTTTTTTCCACTGGAAAAAATTGCTCGTGTAATCTTCCTTTCCTTAGCTCCTAAGGCGAATGATTATGATTCATTAGCTGATGTAGTTTTCTCTAGGTTTCTTCAAAACTGACAGCTTTCTCACAGGAATTCTCACAGGAATCCAGATTTGTTTTGGTGGTAGTTTATTATAGGGGGTCCTCTGTTCGTTTGAGGTAGGGCGGGGGGGGACCCCCGTTTACTAATCAGGATCCAACATTACCTTAGAACCTCAGGAGACAATGGCCACACTTCAGCAGCAAGTGCGGCTCCTGGCTGAGAAGCAGTCCGAGGCTTTGGAAGCCAAGGTGGGTAGACACCGCGAACGTGAGCGACACCCAGGGTGACTCGAGTGGGAAAGATCTACACCACAAGATCCCAAAGATCAGATTTGCCTATGCCCTGGAGGCTTGGAGTGTTTGGATGTATATGGTTTGGAGATAGCTCATCGCCTTGGAAGAAACCGCTTCAGAGGTCAAACAAAGCAAAGCCTTGCGGCCCAATCCGGCCGCAGGAAAAGAACAGACTGGGGGTACATTTTGTCCATGAACTGAAGCAACGGTGCATCTACGACGAATGTATTGCATCAACCAAATTGTCAGAGTCGTTCAGATTTGAGGATGGGTTTGGACTGGGCAGCAGTTGCAGCAGAGGAGCTTCATCCACCTACAGTGATCTAGAGTGCAATTGTATCGATATGATGGCTCACTTTCGCACGACCAGACCAAAACCTGCAGGTCCTGGGGTCTTACTTTGAAGCCACAGCCATTTTTGTGTGCAATATTATTGCTCACCCAAAATCCCAAGTCCAAGGAACAGCTCTCAACGCTAGGACGCAGCTTTGAAAGAGTCTTTGCAAGTGGAGGCTGCAGGCAGGCAGCGCGAGGCAGATGAGAATCTGCGGAAATTTCAGGAGAATGTGGGTGTGAATCTGGCTGTTTTGGAAGCTTTCTCTGGATGCCGCTGTGGGATTGGTAGGGAGAACGTGTTTTCACAAAGCACCGACCCCGGCCATGACCGACCCCTCTCCAAATGCATCGCAGGAGCTTCGTCAGCTGATCCATGAGGAGTCGAACCTCCGCAGCAGTGCCCTGGAGCGCCAAGCAGCACAGCTGGAGCAGCGCCTCACCTCCGAGACCAGCGCCCGGAAGGCGGAGAGTTGTGGGTCGTGAGCCGATGTGAGCTGATGTGAGCTTGGAAAGGGGTGGCCGGAAAGATCTATGGCTTGGAATGTGGAAACAGATTGAGAGGTTTTAGATTCTACAGGCGCAGCAATAGGAGGCTTGAAGATCGCTCAGAGACTCGCGGAGATTGGCTGGTAGACTCGCCAACTAAACCTCATGCTAACCTCATTGGCTGCACACCTCAGCGACCTTGCACCACCCTGGCCTGGCCGTCCCTCGTTCTTTTTGTTGGTCTAGTCCATGGAAGCAAGACGCGTTTCAAACGACACGCCGACGGCCGACCCTTGAAAGTGCTCGAAGTTCGGAGATTTGGCTATAGAACTCCTGCTATAGAAATTTGCCTTGACGCAGTCACCATGTGATGTTTGTTTCTCCATATGCACACCTTTGCAGTTATGTTGAACCTGTGCACTCGGCTGTAGATTAGATGTTCCGCTCAGGACAGCATCCAAAACAGTGTGGGCTGGTTTGCTTGTTCCCTGTAGCTACACTGTTGCTGTTGAGGTGGACACCTTTCTTCAGGTCCTCTGTGTGTGTGTGTGGTGCGCTTGCAATGATCATGGCTTGAACAAGCACAGGGGTGATAGCAGTTGTTCCTTTTCGGTGCGTTACCGGTTGGCAACCAGGATCTGCAGGCACAACATGAGGCGGTCTTCGCGAAGATGGGGCAGGAGGGGGTCCAGAAGGACATTCATTGTGGAGATGGAGAGGGGGAGAGGGAGAGGAGTATTCAGATAATTACTGTAAACTATACAGTAATATCTATTTGACGTGGATTGGATTACCTGTTTGAGAAGAATGCATCCAAGTGATTAGTACCAGAGTTTGCGACGGAATAGTCGCAACATTAAAGGGTGTGTAGTGTGCAGGTCTCCGTGGAGTTTCTACAGATTCTTGCAAGCACTTGGTTATGGGCCTGTGCAATTTTTGTGGAAGGAGTAAGGAGGGCATGTACTAATGAGAGGACATCGGGATCCAGATCCAGTTGCAAAAATGCCCCATGCACACCGGAAGGCCACGAACATGGATAGCTGTTCAGGCCACTAGGGTGTTGAGTTCACTTTGTTCAGCCTACTCAGGCTAGTAGTTCCTTGGCCCATGAGTATTGAAGGTCCGCAAAGGGCGGCTACTCAGCCCAAAAAGTCGATGACCGAGTAACCTTCGGTCACCTCCTTTCGGACCCATTCAGACCCATTCGGCCTTACCGCCTTTCTGACTGGATCACGCTCCAGCCACTGGATCACGCTCGAGTCCCAATCGCTGGTCAATTCACACTCCTCATTCCACATCTCTTCGCAGTTGGTGAACTCCCCTCCGTCTTCCCGGAGATGGTGCCGCATTGGTCGCCCTTCTCGGAATCCACTGACTTTCTGCTGCAGCGAAGGAGATCCAACAGTTGGAGTCGAAAATGGCCACCTTCGTACCTTCCATGCAAAGTTCCCTGGCCGACGCCAATGCCAAAATTGAGGCCGAGCAGGCCGCCCGAGCCGCAGGCGCGATCGAAAACGGGCAGACGGAAGCAGGTCTAACATCACTGGTTGCTTTGGTTGCTTTTACTTCCATGAGGAGGTCTACATGGACATTGGGCACATCGTTTGAGGATGGGCACCTCCCTTTGGTTCGATGTTCCAGGCGTTGAACGGCTCCAGTCGGCCGTGGACTCCTTGAACCAAGAGATCAAGGTCGGCGGTGCCGTTTCGCGGAGTTGTTCGGTCGGAGGAGCGGTGCCAAAGGGGCGCGAGGAGCGCCGACGAAGACCCTCGGAATCGGCTCAATGGCCGAACTTTGCACATCAACGACCGGGCTCAAGTTCGACTATAGACGACTGGAAAGTCGACATGACTTCGGAGACGATTCGATGTTTTTTTGTGTTTCTCTCCGCGTTGTGGCACTCCGGGAGAAGCTGATGTAGCTGGATGATGCTGGATGGCGTTAAACATGCCTGTATCCAGAGCATTTGGTCATGGCATAGACATCCTAAATTTTGCACTCGACCTCTAAGATCTCTAAGCACGAACCACAGATGCCGTACAGTCTTTAAATAACTTCCTGACGGGATGGGTATCTCATCTAGCTATTGATATGCTGCTACTCAGACAAAGGCATATGCTAGGGAACCGGTCGGTTTAAACGGGGTCAATTTGTTCCGGCCAAGCTGGGTGGGAGAGGGGTTGGTGATGCACACTCGATTCATGTCCCTGTGAACGGAGGAAAAGAACAGGGTCAGGCGCTCACACTTAGTTGCAGATTTGGGGAACTAATCGAAGATAATCGAAGTCATTTGACAACCATGCTTCCATTTGGCTTTGTAATTCCACCAGTTGATCTTTGGACTGCCGAGAATGGCCTCAAAAGTATTTTGAATGCGTTTGCAGATGCATCTCTAAGTTGACGCGGGGCCACGCCACGCCAGGCGCTGCCAGTGTTACAGGAGCGGCTCTCACAGGTGGAAGCATCCTTCACCGCGCAGCTGTCGGAGGCCACGGAGGCCTCCATGGCGCGAGATCAAAAGCTGGAGGACCGGAGTGAAGAGGGTTACCGGCGTGTTGCTAATGGGGGCAGGCAAGTGGGCAGGCAGTGTTCACAGAGAAACTCGCCCACCTCCGAAGACGGACCCCACTGGACCTTCTGGGCGACGGCGAGTTTCCTTCTTTCAAGCCAATGTGGAGAAGCCATTTTGGTGTTCAAATCATAGTTGGATTTTTTAGTGCCATGATTTTGTTTTCATGGCATCCCAAATCATCATAGTTGGTTCTTTTGGTTAGCAGGCTCACATGGGGGAGAACGGAATATATAGTATGGAGTAGTTCAGGTTGGGCAAGCTGTGACCAGCTGGGGCTTACGGAAGACTATGCAGTTCCCAAAGGCGTTGGTAGAAAAAGAATGAAAAAGACCCGCGCATGCCGGTGTTGTTTGTTCTTTTTTAACGTTTACGTTGGCTGGAATGGTCAGATTTGGTCGATCAACTGGAATGCCACGGCAAGGCTTCCTGGCAGAATATGATTTGTAATTTATAGATGTTTGAGACCATTGGCGATGGCACCCACAGTTGACCATGCCAAACTGTTCGGATGGGATCCCTCCAGGATTCGCTCCAGCAGCTGCTTGGATCTCCCCGAGTCATGCGATTGGGAAACTGTTTGATTTTGTGATCTTGTCGTCTCCGGGCGTCTCCGGGATCAATTGCCTTCTATAGCCTTACTTGGATGTGGTAGAGGAGAGGGCAGATGCTGCTTGCCAGGAGCACATTGGGGAGGCCATAAGTGGTGACAAATGTTTCTATACCTTTGTCCCGCACCTGGTGTGGGTTTTGTTGATGCAACCATTTGCCACCACCAAGTGTGCACCTCCCACATGGACGTCTGACGCGTTTCAATTCAAATGAATCACTTTTCCACAAAACCATGGAACTTTGTTGCCCATTTGATCCGCTCTCGATGGCCCCAAGGCTTACTTTGCAGCTGGAAGAGGAGACCACCGACCGGAAACAAAGCGAGCAGCGAGCCGCCGGCATGCTCAGCAGCATCCAGGCGCCATTCGTTTCGTCGAGCGCCAAAGGGAGCACACGCCCGGAGTTGAGCGGCAAAACATGGCAAAACGCACGTGCGGAGCTGCAAAAACGTGGCTGGGAAGGATCAGGAGGAGGAGAGTATCGAACATTTTAAATTTTAAGAGGTTGTGGTGGCTGTGGATCGTGCAATTGCTGCCTTTGCATGATTGATTTATATTGTACAATTACTTTCAGGTGTCCATCCATCCCAAAACGAACAAGCATGTATACTGTATGATGATCAAAACAAGTTGAGAAAGACAAGGAAATTGAACAGCTAGGATACGGAACCTGTTCGTAAACGAAAGTAGGCTGTTGCATTTCCGCTTGACTGGTTGATTATATAGTATATATGTAGAGCAACTATCGACCTCCAAAGTGCACATTGCAATCTGCTGCGCCAACTGCTCGCTGGCACTGCTGTCACTGCAGGTGGCCATGGGTCGCGAGCAGCGCGCTCGGGAGGCGGCGTACAACGAGGCGAACCGCTTGCTGGGTGTTCTGGAGACGCGTTTGGAGGGCAACGAGAAGAGCTTGCAGGACGATCGAGTCGCTGGATTTGGTTTGGAGATCGGCGATGGACAAATAGCCCATAGTTGACAAGGCAGATGATTACAGATATTACAGTGGTTTGTGGATTGGTTGAATTCAATTTGGACGTTGCAGCATAAGCTGCAGCATTCCGGGGTTCGGAATTAGTCCTGCGGCACTTGGACCCCCCAAAAGCACTCGATGTTTGAGCGAACGTAACTTCCACCTCCAACAGTGGGAATCTTCAGCTCAGGATGATGCAGATCATGCGGCCACAGGATGAAGGAACCTCATCGACCAAGAGTAGATTGGTCCACATCGTCCACGCCCACACCTTCCGGGGGTCCCCGACGTGTTTTTTGTTTGCCTTTGTTCACAACTTATCACCCTTCAATGTTTAATTGCAACGATCCGCATGCACATGCCAATGGCCTTTTTCTCTCTTCTCCTTTGGCTCCACCAGAGGTTCCAACATGATGTGGGTGATAGTGAGGGGGTGTGATAGGTTGTCTGGTCTGGTGTCATTGACACCGCTCTTTTTTTAAAGATCTGATCTTGTGGGGCAGGGGTTACGAATCCGATGTTCACATTAGGGTTAAGGCGTGTTATGGTTGTCGCTCCATATTGCTCCATCAAACAGTCCTAGGCTACCCAGGTGTTCGGAAGTTTGTGCAGTGCTGAATTCGATGCTCAACGGTTCTTTTGTTCGGTTCTTTTGGGCTCGCCCACTCCTCCGTTCTGGTCGGCTTCCCCGTGGACCCTCTCCGACTTCGCCACTTCCAGGACTTGAGCGCCTTGCTGAAAGCCGAGGTGGCTCAGCTGGAGGAGACGTACTCCAAGTTTGCCAGCCAGGAGCAGGCACCCGAAACGGCTATTTTTCTTGCGGGCACGTGGATGTGTCGGCGGCTGTCTTTTCCTCATGCAGCAAGCATTTTTGTTGGGTGGCCTGGCTTGCGCACGTAGAATAACCGTGATATGCAGGCCAGTTGATGGACAAAAAGTCCTGTACCACTGGCTCAGCAGTTCAGCAGAATGATGTCATGCAGGTTCTGCAGGCTCTCACCAAAAGCTCAGTGGTTACTTAAAGTGTTGCATAGTAGTCACAGTGGCTTTCTCCACGGGCTCCACCCCAAGGGATAGTTTGGCCTCCAATTCTTCGTAGCCTTTGGCCAGTCAAGCTCTCCATGCTTTCCTTCTCAAGACCACCACCTCGCTCCCGCGCTCTGCGCGCCTCGCCAGGCCGCGCGCGAGGCCTTGGGGAAGAGCTTGGAACAGCAGCAGCTGAAGCGTCACGAGGCGCTCGCGGAGGAGCTGCGCCGGAACTACGCTGCCCAAACCGAGGAAAGCCGCAGGCGACGGCGGACCTGGAGAAAGACACAGAACTGATGAGGTTTCGTTGGTCTATGGGGCAGGACGGCAGGACTGATGGTTCTACGATTCTATGATGTTCTAGTTCTGTTTGTGAGCAACTTAGCGGCCAGTTTGCTGACGCTCCCCGAAACAAATCAGAAACAACACCTGTTTGGCATTTGGAAAACTATAGGGGCCATGCCATCCACTTCCGAACCATGATTCCAGTTTGATATCCCCGAAATCGCACTCCCTGGCTCAACCTGCTTGTGGTTTTGGCCCCTGAGATGTGACCACCATGTCCGAGACGAACATGGCCAGTCGATGGACCATGTTTGATGAACATAATCTCTTGGAAGACTATGTTTATTAATATATATATATATATATATTAATATATAGACCCTATAGAAAAGTAAAATCCTTTTCAACACGCTTTGGAAACCGTGCCACCATCTATTTGGGGACCACAAGAGAAGACCCATCGCCATTCCCAACCACCAAGACCGAGTCTGGAACTCACCCCAGCCATGCTGCGCTGCGCCCTATCCCGCCCTCCCAGGTGGGCACAGACCTTAGTGGAGCGGCTGAGCAATGACCTACGGGGAGAAAGAGAGGCTCTCTTCCAGGACGGGACGTGAGGCTCGGTGTGAGTGAGTTGGGTAAGTGGCTGGGGGACTAAGTGATCTAGGGGCGACCCTTTTGTGTGACCCATTGGAGAAGGTGATTGAGGCTGTGAGCTAAGATTCCTGGAGAGTACGTCCCTATCTTCTCACGTTCCGACCTTCTCTGAGGGCGTGTGGATCCATCATTAGGGAGTTATAGTGGGAGTTATATATTTCTTGCTGACCATCCACAGGGGAGGCTCAGGCACCAAAAGGCACAGAGGCACATCCCTTTCAGGAAAATTGTAATTACATCACATGTTCGCAAGCTGTTCATTAAGTAGCTCCACTCCTCATTTCAACAACTCCAGCTCCCAGACATTCCATGCCACTATCTCTCCAGGTGCCCGTTGGTCAATTACACCACACCGTCCTGTTCATTGCGGTGAGCAACTCCACAGAAACTCACCCGGACATCGAAAAGTGGGTTTGGACTGACCAAATCATCCATTTGTGCAATTTGAATTTACACCATGATGCAAATGTACGGCCTACATGACACACATAACCACGGAGACTGCCCAAAGGTCACTACCTAGGTTTTAATGAGCTTCCAGAAGCATTGTTGGGGTTGGGGGTGGATCCCAAGCATGAAGTAGAGTGGTGGCGATGTTAGCTTGTTTGTATAGAAAGCTGACCGATCTTAGCTTGGATCTCTTGTCCAAATGATGAGGATCACCGACCCATTCATGTTTAGCGACAACACTTCACTGGCTCGCCCCAGGCAGACACGACCAACATGTATGGTCATCCTCAAACGGAATGTGTATGGAAGAATGGCGCACACACACACACTCACACACACATGTGTGTATGTATATACTGTATATACATATATATATACAGGGGCACGGATGACTTATGCTTTAGGCCCTGAACTGATATAGTAATAGGTGTTGTGGCATTCTTTTGCAAAAGGCCTATGTCATGGTGTCTTGTTTGCTCCAGACATGCCCCAACTGGCCTGATGAGATAGAACTTGTGGAAGGTGGATGGGCCAAAATATGCAAAAAGACAAAGGAAAAGACACACGAATGACCGGCCTGCACGCAATGTCGCGACTTAGGCAGCCTTTTTCACTTGTCCCTGAGGGTATACACATCATTTTCCCATCTTCTCGCAGCTTGCTCCGAATTCGGCGAGCGAGCCGCGCAGGAGCTGAACCGCCGCTGCGATGAGGTGGCGAAGCTCAATGCAGAGCATATCCGCTTGGAGATGGCGTCTGAGGTCGGACTTGGGCGGTGAGAAGAACGCTGCGTTCTTCGGACGGGGGTGTTTCACCTATTGGATGGATGGGTACGTGAACTGAAAAATCAGGCATGTTCATGGTTCCTGCAATTATGAACTATCCCGTGCACAGGTTTGATCCTCAATTCACTCATCATGAACAGACGATATACTGCTATATACTCCCCCCAGTGCCACCTCCAGGTGCAGAAGGTGGACGCCCAGACTGCAGAGCTGTTGGCCAAGCAGAAGGCAGTGCTGGAAGAAGAGAAGCGCCACTTGGCGACCGACCCGTCTCCCCTGCAGCTCGGAACCGTCAACTGCAGGTGGCGCTGGCAAGTGACTAACCCCCACTGGCAAGTGCATGGCCGGAGGGTAGTAAGCTGAACTTCCTCATCAAAGTAGGAAGCTTGAACCCTGGAGGGTGCGCCACAGTGTGCGCCACCAGGAAGCCAAGAGAACGGCCCAGTTCTAGACCCCTGGGTCATTGTACATCGTCATATTATTAGATAGATACTTAAATATAAATATATATATTTACAACATGTTCCACACCAAAATGTGCATACAGGGAAGCAGCCTCATGACTTTGGAGTGGCCCAGCTCTCACATGTTTTGTTTTTGAACTTACCATGGCTTTTGGTGGTTGAGAAGAAGAATCCCTTGCTTCTTGAAAACCATACCGTTTCAGTTCCTTTTGTTTGGTGTTATTTTGCGTTGGAGGATGGTTTCAGATGATCTTCACGGTCTCCCCGACCGCATGTCGCCGGAGTGGACAAGTTGGTGGACCGCATGTCTTCCAGACAAGTTGGTGGACCGCAACCGCCAGATCTCTGGTGGGTTTGGGCGAGTTCAGTTTTTTCACCAGATATGCATCAGTTTTTTCAGACTCTTGATTAATACACCCCCATACAAAGAGGATTTCCAGTTCAACTGGGTGGGTTTGTTAATCAAGCGACTAATTACTTTTCTTGGCCTGGACTCCCGGCACACCACCCAAAAAGTCCAAAGTACCAGTTACCACTCCTCCCAGTGTTGAGGCCACTACGAGCACCAAGCCTCAGTGGCAGCGCAGGAGGCCGGAACCTGCTTGGGTTCATACGGTCGCACTTCACCCCTTGTTTGGCAAAAAAGAAGCGGAGAGCCAGCAAGTTGCTTGATGTCCAGAATCCCTGTCATCCAAAGCTTGTTAGATCATGGTTTTGGTAAATCAGAGTAGGTGTTCCATACCTACTAAGGAGGCATGCTCATGGACCCTCTTGCCATTTTGCTGAGATGGACTTTGGAAACTTATTGGCACAAAGCACTAGGTGGATGTGTTTCTACTTCCGGTGCTGTAGATCTTTTACTTTCAAATCTCACGTTGCGCGACCCTATTTCAGTCCCGCGGCTGATAAGCCGGATTTGAAGACACACCAACGCAGTTGTTCAGAGTTGTTCGTTGCACCTGACACCCTATGGCCCAGCTAGACAGACACAGGCAGTCCAAAGCATTGTACACAGCAGGAAACCTGGTTTCAATTCCTCAGCCTTTCCACGCTATCCATGACACCCTGAGATTCGTTGCTCTCCACCGCTCATCCTTCCACACCTGGGCTGCCCTTTTGAATTCGTTCCATTCTCCGTGGATGGAGGTGAAGGCGGCCTTGGACGCCCATGGAGAATTCGCAGAAGCCTTGGAGGCAGAGCAACGCCTCATCGTCTCGCGGCTCACCGAGCAGCTGCAGCGTGAGGGCGCCGCCAGGCAAGAACGCCGAGTTCGCCGAACGCTGGGCGTCTAGTTGATGATGTTGATGTAAAGCTCCGACACTGAGCCAGGCTCAGACCATGCCCAAACTGCTAAGTAGCATGATTCAGCATCGAAAGGCCTTGAAGCTGGTGATGGACCCTCACCAAATTTGATCCATAAAGTCATAGAGTCAACCGGAGGCAATGATCCGATATGGGCATTCCATGATGTTTTCTTTGCTATTGCGTGGGCGATGATCCGTGTGTGCTCAGCCTTCCTGGCGCTGAAGAACCTATACAAGATCAAAGACTTATTCTTGATGACGATTGTGTGTGTGCGCAGTCTTAACAGTCTTAACAACAAACCCAGCTACTCGCTGCTTTGTCCCAGAGCCCCCCATGGAAGAAACCGTGTGTGGCCAGACATGAGCTAATGACGCGCTTGGGAGTTGTGAGCTCAGCGGGTCGATTTGGGAAGAAGAAATCGTTTCTCTCCACTCATCGAACAAGAACGAAGACGCTACTAGTAGTAACATGGATGCTACTAGTAGCTCCTGGCGTTACTGCTAGTAACAAGAAGATACTAGTAACAAGGTGCATCGCAACTGACTAGTAGCAAGACTATAGCGCTGGATTGGGACGAGGTTCGGGGTTTCTGGTTTCTTTTCCCCATTCCCAACGAAGTAGTTAGGGCATTTGGGGTGGAAAGAGGCTTTCCCATCACCCAACAATTGTTTTTGGGATCGGACCACTGCACTTGCTGCTACGTTCAAGCCAACCTAAATGAGTGAAAAGCATTCAATGAGGACCGGATCCCATTTGCAAAGTTTGAACTGATGTATGAGTGAGATCACGTATTACTTATCACGTAGCAAACCTGTGGCAAGCAGTGTCATTGAGGTCACACCTGCAGGAACCGGTGGTCCCAGACATCCAGATCTTCCTTTCTCTCTCTCTCTCTCATCGCGCAGCCATTTGGGAATCGATTTCTGGTGGAGTGTGATCCTCCAGTCCCATGCAAGCGCTTCAGAGCGCCTTCTCGCTGTGCTGTACCGCACGCCCGCGCCTCGTGCCGAGCTGGTCGGAGCGCGGCGACGAGCGCCTGGAGACAGGTGCGAGGGAGGGGGTGCAGTGGGCGGCGAGGTTCCACAGCACAGGGATGCGTGATAGCTTCTTGCTCCTAGTAGCGATGGCCTCCACCTAGCAGCTTCTTGCTACTAGTGTAATGCCCTTTTTTACAAGTTACTCGTAGCTTCTTGCTCCATCTTGCTCCTAGTAGCAGTGGCGTTAGCCTCCAACCTACTTGCAATGGCCTCCACCTAATAGCGTCCCTGCTACCAGCATATGATGAATGCTTCCACTTAAAAACACCGGCGAAATGGCAATACGATGCAACATGCACAGATTCCAACATGCTTGGTGTCGGGGTGGGGGTCCATGTGATTGGAAGAATCTACTGTAAATGGTGCCACATTGCCAGACACATTCAGCTTCATGGTGTTGTGTGCGAGATCGAGGCCCGAAGAATCAGGCAAGAGTAGAAGCTGACAGCCGACTGGTTTGAGGGTCACCTGAGCCCCGTTGCAGGCTTAGCTGAAGGCTCAGCCGTGGTGGCACGCTTGCACCAGCCCAATAGCCCGCCTCAGCCACTGGGCTGGTTCATGGCTGTGGACGCCCAACCACTAGAGGGTGGGCTGGCTCACTGAATGGCTCGCATTGTGGGACAGAGGAAGGGAAACAGGATGAAGCAGGGCTGTTTTTACTATATACAGACTATATACAGAAACCATCCAGAAATCTCCGAAGTGGCCCATCATCCAGTCGCTAGTTTTGGCGTCACCTCAGGGAGGGTGCTTCATGATGTCAAAGCTGTATTGTGCTCAATACTTTGACATTTGATTATTTAACAAGTTAACATGTGTTTCTTTGCGGAAACATCCGGCCCTTACCTGAGACCGGCAGCATTTCGTGTAAAAGATTCGATGCACTTCGGGTCGAGCTCCAAATCCAGGGACTTGGTCTTCTTCGTTGGCCCAGGTTCATCTATGGCACCTTGGACTCCAAAAGCCCCTTGAGCATCACCAGTTGCGAAGGCGCCACCATCACCAGCGATGAAGTGCAGTGGGCAGCTGCTGCCAAGGATGATGGCTGGCTGGCGCCCTATGGGAAGGAGTGGCAGGAGCCTGGCCGTATCCTGTTCATGAGGCCGTTTGATGGACCGTTTGGCCGTTTGCTTCCTGACATTTCTTGGATCCTGAGAGGGATATATGGAATTTGGGGAATAGAGAGAGCTGTGAGTACTGCGAGTTGTTGAAAGGGAAATGAAAGGAAATCCGATGAATGTTCTTTGAGGAATTAACTTGGTGAAAGGGGAATGAAGGAGAATCAGACGATTCTTTTTTGATTTGGGATTGTGGGAATGGCGAGTTGGGAATTAATTGATGAAAGGGGAATGAACGGGAATCACAATAAGTAACGACTGTCTTCAACGTGGGATTGTAAGAATAAAGTAGTTGGGAGTTAGCGAACGGGGCATGAAGAGAATCCAAAGAAATATGTTGTTTTCTTTTTCAGATGCCGATTCTTATTTTGTGCCGAGCAACTTTCTGGGAGATATCCCAGCAACTTCGGGGTCATGATTGATTTCAAAAAGCGTTGATCAGGGAAGTTGTTGCAATTATAAGAGTCTTACCCAAAGGTTTTGGGATTCCCATGTATGAATTTACATCCACATATAAAACACAAAAGAAAGGTGAACAAAACACTAATAACATCTAATAACTAATAACCAATGAATACCAATGAGGTTTGATTCAAGAAAAGGGACACACACACAGACAGACAGACAGTTATGTGAATGTCAGTTTTTGTGTTTCCCTTTTTTATGATGTTTTGCACATCATTCTATGTTTGTTAGAATTCAAATGGCCAAGTTTAAACAACTTTTGTGCGGGGATTTTGGAGTGACGCATCTCAAGCGGGGGGGGGTCCTGGATGGTCCTGGGTTCTAGATGGTTCCTAGGGGTTTCTGAGTCATATTCGTTCCAAACGTTTGTGGAACACAGCAGTCAGAGTTCCTCACCTGTGGAGCCTGCAGGCTCCTGAAAGATGACGAGTGGGTCGCCGCCCGTACAGCAACCCGAGCACCCAGCACACCGGTCGCCGCGAACTATTTGCCGCTGGAGGGTGTGGAAGGGCTTGAGGGTGTGGATGTTTGCAAGGAGGCAGCTTGGCATAGCTTGGCGCTCAAGGGTGGTATACATACATATTATAGGTATGCGGGGATAATGTGTTCAATGCAGCGCAGATCATGTTGAAATGAGATATGCATACGCTGAAAGTGGACCGGCCTGAACAAAATGCCCAACTGAGCGATCACTTTGCGCGTTCCGGGCGCGTTCCGTTCGTTGATTTCACTGCTTGAGCGATCATCCAGTGATGGACAAACGTGAAACATGAGTAGTGTCGGAGAGCTGTATGGTGTGGAACCTCCAAGCCCGCAGTCGTAAGAAGTGCTTCGCGGTAGAAAGCCATTCTCAAATCCACTGACAATCCAGAGCAGACTCCGATGCCCGACATGTCACCTATAAACCTCTCAGTATTCTCAGTCTCCCCGAATGACATGAAGAGAAGAGAGTCGAGAGTCCTACCAGTTCGTGTCAAGAACTTGATGCTCCCTACACGAGTCCTTGGATTTCAGAGTCCTTCTTCAGGGATCCAGTCGTTCCTCCTCCAATGGTACTTGGACCCTCCAAAACCACCCACCCCAGTCCCACCTTCTCAGAGGGTACGACTGGATCCATAGGGCTCGGTGCGACTGATGCTTCTCTTTCGGTGAAGGAGTCGTCCTGAAGCGTCCGACGACCTGTGTGGTCCAAACGCCGGCTTGGTGGGCCTGAAAAAGACGATGCCCGATGGTATTCTGATATATTCTGTCGAGTGACTGTAAATGTGTATAATAAAATACTTACAATTATATATATATATAGATACTGTATATAATACAACGCTTCGTTGTTACTTAACAAAAATCTTTTCACATCATCATATTCCTTCCTATCCGCACTTGATCTCATTGATTATCATACTTGCTGAGGTGGGTATGCTCTTTACGCCCCACGAGGAATGCCAAGAGGAATTCAAAGAACTGCAACCCGGAAGGGGTGGTGTCCTGGTCGACCATCTCGCAAAGGCACCCGAGCGGTCCGTCGAGCGCAGCCTGCGCGCTTTTTTCCGTCGATCCTGGGTCTGAGAACTAACTGAGGCATAGAAGTGATCAGCGTTTGTTGGAAGATGTCTCAAGCGTTTGTTGTTTGTGGCTTCTCCACTCAACCTTGTGTTTGTTTGATAGAAGTTGTAGTCGTAGGTAAGTTGACATTGCCTTTTGTATCATTTTTTGCGGTGGGAACAGGGAGTACAGAAGGCCCAGCTCTCATTCCAGTCAGCCTGATTCTAATGATTCTAATATCATGGCCGGTCTTCGTAGTTCTCCGGATCTCGCAGCTCCGGATCTCCAGCCTTCGTCAGGCCTTCGTCCTGGGAAGCAGCAAGTCCCAGCAGAGACTTCGATGGGTCCAGAAATGCCGCACGGAAGCGCAGTACCCCATGCGCTGCCTGGCCGAAGCTGAAGGTGGGCTGAAGGTTGAAGGATTGACGTTGTGAACAAGTGTTGCTGCTGTGGCGGTGAGATGCCGTGAGCAAACCCATATGTAAAAATCAAATAGCAGAGACAAGGTTTCACTTGCAGCGCACCATATAGGAAAGCTGGATGGCACAAGCAAACCAGAAGACATGCCAGAAGCATGCCCCTGTTTACAAAAAGAACACACATCAACCCTTGGACATGCAACCAGAGTTTGCAAAAAACCTGCTGCAGAGGCCGCAGACGAATGGCACCCTGGGGGGGGGCCTGATAGTCCTTGGAGGGGGTTGTTGGAGGCTTTGGGCACTTTCTTGGAGATGGTGGCCTGTGAACATCACTGGTTGCAGAAGATAATTCGGCAACTGAAGATCAATAGTCTTCTTCATCAGCCTGGAAAGTACCTAGATCTGATGTTTTCACACCAAAGTCTTCCCAACATGTCCCCACCCACTATGTCAGCGCAAAATCCCATCCACCATGTGAGCTTTGCTGAGCGCGACCCAGTGTTTTGTTGGTCAATGTTGTCCATTTAATCCTTTGTGGATTCAAACCACCCTGCTCAGCTGCTCACAAAGGCGACGCTTTTGCTTGTTCCAAGCCCATGTGAGAGATTGACATACCCCTGCGCTCAGCAGTGTAGTATTGGCATGCACCTTAACACTGCTAATGCATTCCTGCCCAGAAAACGGTAAGAGTAAAGAACAACGATAACAATGATTATACCGGCACATCTCATGGGTTTCAACCTGTCCCCTTAACTTAATAGATAGGTAATGTTAATGGAAGAGTCGACTATCCTCCTCCTACACTCCCCCTGCTGAAGGAAGAGGTGAGAACCTAGCTTTCAAATCTCACTTTCCATTCAGTAACTGCCTGACTGGGCTGTTTGGTCCACATGCTGCCAGTACATGAACCACGAAAATGGCAACCTGCAGAGATGTCCGGAACGATAACGAAAACGATAAATGATGAAATGTAGCGTAGCAAAAAACACCCCTGGTGGGCAAGTACCCATTTGACTGTTTTCATTGGACCTTTTCAAGACCAGAAGTGTGCGGCGCGGTAGTCTTGTTTTGCTGTTTATACCATTTTATATCTGATCTGTGCTACTGCCATGTCTTTACGACCAAAGACCATGCATGGAAACCGGCTAACTTGAGAGTTCTTGTGTGCAAAGAGCCCAACACCTGAGAAAACGATAAGAGTAAAAACAACGATAACATGATTTCGAGGTATTGCAAAAGACACAAAGTTTTTTCAATACCCCATGTGGAAGGCTGCCCTAAACACTTTCCGGCCAGCTCATCCAAAAACACATCAAAACAACCACCTCCTCGCTGCGATGTGCCGAGCCCACTCTCGCGCCCCGAGGCTGTATTTGGGTTCACCCTTTGGTGAAATCCCTGGGCCTCCGGGAGTTCGTGCGCAGATGTTGCGCCAAAGCCGAGGCCCAGGACGGCGACCACACGCCCGGCGGTTCTGGCTGACCAAGCGGTGTGTGGCGTCCGTGGTCCAGACCAGAAGGTTCCGAAGCTGACCAAGCTGGGGTTTGAAGTGTAGTGTCTTTTTGTTAATTGCGTGGTTGTGTCAGCAGCTGTGCGTGAAGGATGTTCGACAGATCGTTGCTTATGTAATACTGTATATAATTGCATTACTCCCCCAAGCGCAAAGAGGCTTAAACTCCGATTGGGAACTTTGAAGAAGGGTGAGCCTTGATTCCTGGAGCCCTGCCCCAAGCCACCTTCCGCAGCTGTGGGGGAATGCATCGGGTTTTTCAGGGCCCAAGGGATCGAAACGGAGGGGACCGCGGACCAAGCCTGCTAATGTAAACTCTTAGCTTAATAACCCCATAGGAAGAGCTGTTTCAATCCAATTGGAGGGGGTTCTTGATCAAGAAGTCTACATTCGCAATCATGTCGATTGAAAAGGTCCCGGGACCAAGTCCAGGCCCTGGTGCTTTTTCTTCCTTTTTCTAGTGCTTTGGGCTATGGCTTCCTTTGCCCCAAAACGGCCACCCTGAATAATGTAATCTCCCTGGTCTTAGGTGAAGACTTTTGAACCACAGTCATTGGTCACTTTTGACCATCATCGGATGCATGGCGATCTTTTCACAGGGCTGAATTGGTGAGGCAACAAACATGTACTCCAACTCCTACCTGGACGCCATCACCTTAAAGTTGTACTAAGACAAAGGTCTGAGCACTTAAAAATGGTTGTGGGTTTCGGAGGGACGGCCGTCCACTACAAACACGACACCTTGCTGAAGAACAACAGGACATGACAATTGTATTGTTCTGGACATCCAAGTGCCATGCCACCACATTCTGACATGGTGTTTGTAAATTTTTATTTGAGTGTATTTGTGCGCTTCAGGAGCCACTGGCGCCGGAAATCGTGATGCTGCTGGGACCTCCAGCGGCTGGGAAGACACTTGGCGCCCACGCCTCCGAGGTTTCATTGGAGAAGTGAGGATTGTGTACCATCAACATGAACATAGAACCGTCCACAATCCTATACATATAGACAGTCGTGAAGCTGCCCTTCGGCAGCACCTACTCGGAAATCCTGCCAACATGATGCAACATGTCATGTATTTGGGGGGGCCACTCTCAGGTTCCCCGTTCAACAAGCCTTGCGTGGAATCACATGCACAAAGCAATGCTAAGTTTTGAGCCATATAACTTCACCAAGGAGCAGCATCCAGCGGCTGCCACCCGAGCAAGTGCCCGAGACTCTGAAAGGTACCGTGCGCTCGCTGAAGTTTCGCGAGGAGGCGGCGGGTGAACCACGCGCGGTTCCTGCGCGGTGCATGCGCAGAGCGTAGAACTTGCTAGCTGGGTTCATGGCAGGAGTTCGTTTCTTGAAACCAACTAAGTAGGTACCCCCAGGGTACTAACGGTACTCAGAGCATCTTATATACTGTATAAAGTCTACCATGTCTTCTTCTGCCTCTTTGGGAAGAGGGTGCGTTCCCTGAGTCCCGTTAACCACACGTTCGCCCCTAGGCCGAGTTCCCTTTGTGTGAACAACGACGCCAATCTATCCGCATCCTCAGTCCATGTCGTATGGAATGCACGTTTTTTCAGCACTGGCACCCTGTTGCATTTGCAGCGCGAGGTGAACAACGACAACTTGTGCGATTGCATGCCTGGCTTTCGGGCTCAGTTCCAGGTGGCTTTAGGCGTGCCGAAGGAGTCACAGGCTGGCGGCGCGCACTGGCGGAAGATGATGAAGGTGGTGCCGCAGAGGCATTGGCAGCAGTTTTCTGAACTGTTTTGATCTACAGTGACATCCATGGTAATTTGCAAGTAGATTAATTATAACAGGTACATCGAAGTCCTGTCCATTAGACGGCCCTTAAGCTAAAAACCATTGGACACCCCTTAGAAATCTAAGTGTTTGACAAGTGCTTTTAATTTTGAGGGATCCTCGTATAGAATCACAGGATTTGGGATTCGGGTCGCTGGAGACGTCAGCCGCCTGCGTGTCAATCCGTGTCATTCCGTGTCGGTGGTCAAAACCCGAGGAAACCAAGGGGTGCTCATTGGTCACCCCTTAAGCCTAAGGAGTGTCCAATGTACATACCTTAAGAAAACCTGATGCAAGCCCATACCATACCGTGTCATTCCGTGGTTCTACCTTGTCCTCTTACATCGGGATTTTTTCACGTTGTTCTCTTAAATCGGAATTGTTACTTGGGTTCTCTTACATCGGGAATGTGTTACTGAAAGGGGTGCTCATTGGACGCTCCTTACAGATAGGTGAACATCAACAATCATTGGACGCCTTTTGAATCGTCTGGATATATAACTATATACGGCGGTTTACTGCAATTGTACAGGATGCTTACAATTGTTTATTGTTGGTAATGCCTTTTCCACAAAATTACCTGATTTCAGGATGACTAGAGGAAGGGAGCATTCAAAATAAAAGACAAGCAAAAACATATCGAGGAATACGAGTAACAAGCATATGTGTTTTCTTTTGAATGTGTGTATTATATCTAAATGCCTCCTGATGGATGAGAGAAGATGTCCTGTCCGTCCCAAATTCTGTGAGGTGCAGCACAAGAACAGCGGTTCTTGGAACTGGGCTGTGCAGGCCCTCACTGGACGAAGTCAGGACGGAGCGCATCGATCCAACACCGGCCCCGGTCAGACTCCGGGGAGAGATACGAAGCCACTCGGGTTTGAGCGATGTGATGGTTAGCAAGGTTCCCCCCCCCATTTTTTTGGTAGATGAGTGATGGTGAAACTTCGGGCTGCCAACTTGAGGACTTGGTGCACTCACGGAAATATATTTGGCCGGTCTGATAGATTAAATTAGTATGGACTTGATTTTTGCATGTGTTATGACCACCCAAGATCTGATGTTGCCCCCCAAGTAGATCAAAACATTTGTCCTCGTGCCGTTTGGTCACTTTGGAGCGCTTTCCGCTTTGGAGCTTACTGGGACTTGTCTGTCTCTGTGCACTTTACAACTGCTATTGGCTGCCCTTGGCTTCCACGCCGCAACCTGTTAAAAGCAACACTAGTGAATTGTTCTCCTTGCAAGTGCATGGTGAGGACTCAAGACGGCAGCATTTCCAGAACAGCACCAAATAGATACAGATATCAATTCCTCAATCCGTCGACTGGTGCCTCCACGTTCGCACGGTGGGGCCCCAGGAGCACAAGAGCGCCATTGCCTGGGCCATGCAGTGGTTGACCTACGCGATGTTCCACCATGGCCCAGTTCGGGACTCCTTGGCTTGGGATGTCATCAAGGCGGCGATCGCCGCGAATTACACGTGAAGGGCGGGCCGGGCCTGGATGATAGCAGCAGGATGGAAATCCCACAGTTTGCTGCAAACGTTTCATTTATGGTCTTTGTGCAGGAAGTCATGAGCTGCAAGCTGTGCATGCGGTCATGCCATCCAATTCCATGATTGGAGGAAACATATAGCTACAGCTAGCAGAAGGGACAGCATAAGGACAGGCGGAGCAGTTTCGGGATAGTCGCGAGATACGGTTGATTCATGAGACCTTCTACCTGCACCCTTTCCATCCCAGTTAGTGCCCTGAAATTGGGAGTGGTGTTGGGGTGAGGGATGTATCACAAAGACTTTGTGGCATTGATGCAAGCTCCATCACGATGATCCAAATGCATGAGCCCAGTGCAAAGTTGGTGATTCACAGTTGTTCTTGCTCAAGAGAGATGAGAGCAGGGGCATGCATCAACCTACTTTTAAGAGTGATCAAATGTGATCAAGTGCCACATGGAGTCCTTCGTAGCAGGAGTGTCAGAAAAAGAATACACACATATGTTTTGTTCGTTCAACTTCCGATTCAGGGGGTTCCCATCTTCACGAAATATCCGTATATTCACGTGTTTATGCGTGTGTTTGTATGTTGCGTGAGACTAAGTATAGTTTGCGGGAGCGTTCTGCTTGGGAGTGCAGCTTTGAAGGGAGAAGAGTTCCTTGTAGAAGGCCATGCTCAAGGAACTCCAAAGTTCATTATTGTTTGTGTGTTTCCTTTTATGGCCGAGCTTCAAAACACACCTTGTAACAAACAGTATTTTGTGAGGGGGTTCCACTTCTGAGCCTGAGCAGCCAAGGGGATGGAGAACTGGAGAACTCCGAAAAAACCATGGGGCATCGTCCGCTGCCAGGTGACCATCGTTGAAGCCAAGACATTGCCGGTATACTACTCCTCTGTGATGGCCGGTGCTGCCTTGGAGCCTGGTTGTGACGAAGTGTCGGGCTGCTGTGGATCTCAAATCTCCTGTTGAGGGGGGGTCCCATCGCTCTTGGGTTGGAGGCCTCACTTTTAGGATGGAAGCCATCGCTAGTAGTCCAGAGCTGATTCGTGATCTTACGGAGGTAGGTGCCCACTCTAGATGACGCAAGCGCGTGGGATGGAGTCCGCTGCAATGAGTGGGTTGAATACACACACTCAGGACAATGCGTACGGAATGGAATGCGGTTTGCCACCCGCCAGCCCAAGTAAAAAACCAAAGGGTCCAGAGGTTATGAAACCTGAGAGTATCAAGTGGAGAGGCATCTAACAAAAGAAAGAGAAAAGGAACACGTCAACTCCTCCAAGTTCGATAAGTCTCAAACTGCAAGACTCAATCTGCGTGACTGCCGGGAGCAGAACAGGTGCAAAGGCTGTCGATCTTGTTGTAGCTAAAACCACAGCCCAGAAGGAAATTGAGACAGCAGGTACGTTTGGCTGATCAGGCCAGATATCAGCACGGAGCTTGACCCTCTTCGTTGGATCACCAGTCAAGTCCGTGGGTGATCCCCCTGCATGTTTACACCAAAAGGTGACCTGTGAGTCCAAGATGCACACACACACATATATATATATACTTTTTTCAATACACGCATATGAATACTATGCAACGTGTGCACATCGCGTTGCTTTTTCCTTTGGAAGGCTGTTTGGGATAGATACTGCATGCTTTTTTGGCCGGCAGTTTTGATCCGCTTGGAGCAGGTCCACTTGCATTGACTGGGCACCCAACCTGCGCACCAAAGCTTTTTCGACGCAGGGCCAACTGACTACGTGATTAGCAATACCAGGACATGATAATAAAGCACCAACATAACCACATAATCATGAGCGCTGGGTCAAGAATGGTCAAGATATCACTTCAGCAATCATCAGACACTCAACAAGCCAGCACAAACATTATAGACATCAACCCTGGCTCAACCATAAACCATGGTCAACACACCACGTTAGCCTCCACAATCCATCACCTCAGCTGCCATTCATTTCTCAACTCACTTGGATTTCAGGACCGCACCATGGAAATCTTGGAGTTGGCACACAGTCCCAGCAAACCTGTGCCTCACCCGCCCTTGCGTGTGGTGGGCTTCTCGTTCTGCAGGGCCGGGTTGCGGACCCTGGGTCGGCGACAATGACAGGTGCGAAGACCGATATTTCTCGACCCCACCAAACAGCACTGTCGGGGGAGCAGCGCAAATCCATCAGATTTGATCTACTAACCTACCACTCGGGAGGGGGTTCGCCGCATATTGGGGAGAGAGGGCGGAGGAGATATACGACATAGTAAGAGTTAATCGTAGGTTTCCCTTTCAATCAGTTCCACCACAACATGATAACACCACGGTCAGCGGAGAACAACACCTATCGAGACCTTTCGTTGCACATTTAGTACTTGCAAAGTTCCTTGACTCAACCTAACGACGGGCAGAAATATACAGTTTTTTCCAAGGCAATACTCACCAGGCCATGTTGTTTGTGTCTATTGATTGTAGCTGTTTGCTTTCAGGACATATTCTCTAAACCTGAAGTCAGCTTGCAAAGTCCCAAGGTATCGGTATTTTCCCGCGAAAAACGACCTCCTACGCTCAACGACATGGCACCGTTTCTCAACGACATCCACCGGACCACAAAAGATGGGCACCGTTCGTGACCCCAAACGGCCGACGGCGCCCACCCAGTCCACCGTTGGACGAGGCTTTTGGCCCTACGCGAGCCAGGAGGCGCGCCATGCTCGGCAGCGGAACCGTCATCGCTCGGAGAAGGAGCAGCAAAGGTGCCTCGGGCGGTTCAGTTCTTTTTTTTTTAAATGATGCTTTGTAAAGCATAACTCACACTTTCAGAATCTGTTGGATACTTTTAGATGGCAGTGGTTGCGGTGTTGGTGCTGGTGTGGTTGAAGACGTCCGCTCTTCATGCTTTTGGTTGTGATGGTGGTCGTGGTGGTGTGACTGTTGTTGCATGTTGTTGCACTTGCTGTTGCTGGTTTGGTTTTGTAAGTTGTTTTTCTTTGTTGGGGTGGTGGAACATGATGCCATGTTTTGTGCCATTTGCCACGCGTTCAAGGCAGGATGTTTGTGTATGTTCGGCCATTGGGGACCGGTTGCCTTTGGATTTGTGTTTTTCGTTGGCCAATGGAATGCGTCTCAGACCGGCGTCTACTCCAACCGGTTTGGGGTCGGAGTGTCTACGGCGTAGACTCTACACTGCTGGTTTGCCACATTTGTCAAAGACAAACCTTTTGCAACCTATTGGTGATTAGCGATTAGTAATGATACAGATACAGTAATGAGTAGTATTAAGTGACAATTGAGTGTTCAAAGTTGGTTGCCTGCTGTTTTTGTCCCCTTGCTTTGGCTTCACTAATGCGAGTGGTATTTTGAGATTTGAGCTTTGGCTAACCAGACGCTTCGGCTTCCCTTGAAGAGACAAAAAAGGACTGTCGACGCATCCACTCAGATTGTTGGGTGGCAACATTGACTCAAACCTGGTGAATTTGCATTTCCACGCGCAACAAGCAGAGCCGCTTGGAGCAGATAAAAAAGGAAAGGTGTCTCTGTGTCTCCGGAAAAGGGGCCGAATGAAATGTACCCTGCCTGGAATCCACATGGAAGTGGCACAGCCTTTGGTTGTAGAGGAAGATGCTCTTCCAAGGGGCCATTTTCCCTTTTTGCATGTTAGTTCCAGGGAGCGTATGAATTGTGAGGGGGAAATTGGAGATGATGAGGTGGCCCTCCTCAAGGCTCACGTGGATTTGTTATTGTCTTTTCTACCAAGGAAAACGAGGTTTAAAACAGGAACATCGTTCTAACCAAGTACCTAACCGTTCAGTCCATCAAGCACCTAACCGTGGAACATCCATCCTGTGGAAGGGCTGCACATGACCACTACAACTACAACTCCCCTTTTTGACAGCCCTCTCGGACGTGCCATTTCCACTCGGACGACGCAATGCCAACAGACTTCGGTGCAGGTCCAACATCACCAAGATGCTGAAGTCCCTTCGCTTGGGCCAACGACCGAGCGATGGCGAGACCGTCCAGGCTACGGACATCAAGGCCGAGAAGACAAGAAAACAACAGATCTTCGGTGATGTGGATGTTACATGGAACGTAATGCAACAACAATATGAATTGTGTATTGGATTGGGAAGGCCCGGCAGGCCACACATGCTGTTGGACTCACAGCTTAGCCAGCCAACAGCATGTGTAAGAACAAAAGTGCCTCAGGTTCTCAAACTTAGCAAACCACTGTGCGCCCTCCCTGTTTTTAGGTCCTTATTTTTCAGTGGCTCAATCCATTTAAATTTAGTGTTTGCATACAAACACATTCTTGGTCTCCCTGTTCATTTGGCGGCTGTTCATTTGGGGTGCGGCACAGGGGCCCCAGACAAAATGTACGGCAGATGTTCCATGCCTTGGCACCTGAGCCCCGATCCGATCGCTCCAGGCGACCCGGAGGTCGACGTCGCGGACGTGGGGTTCGCCCGCGACGGCGTCCGAGGTGGACCGCTTCATCGTCATCGACAACGACGCCGTGGAGCCGCGGATCCTCCTGGACTTTACGGAGCCACTGGATGGGAGGGCAGGTGAACGGGATGACGATGGATCACTGATATTCACTGATACTTATAAACCCACCCAACTGACTTGAAAATCCTCTTCATAGGCGGGGCTGATTAATCAAGAGTCTTAAATTATATATCTTCTTTCAGTATGATCAGTTGCAAGAACTGCCCAGCAGTTCTTGAGAAATACAACTGATTGGGAGAAAGACAAACTGATCCTGCTCCAGCCACCTGAACTCATCCCAACTCCAAGGTTTTAATCTACGAGCCCAGAGAAGTTGAGGTACTAAGCAAGAGATCTGGAGGGGAGCGATGTTGAAGGGAGAGAGAGCCACCTTGGAGGGTCCTGGCCTAGCGCATGTGCTTTCTATGTGGATTGGCAAGGATTGGCATGTGTTTTAACACTCAAGGCGGGACAAAATGGAAGGACACATTTGTGTGAGGGATTTGCACGATGCAGAAGCTGGATCCTGTTGGATATGGGAGGGTCCAATCATTGTCCAACTGTAGGCGTTCGGGAGCCATGTTGGTGGCCAGTGGCCCCGCATCTCAAAAGGCCAGAAATCCAATGGCAGGCTCTCCAGCCAAATGTTTTGGAGCCCTGAAAGGTGGTGGTTTGGGGCTTTGTGAACGATGGTGAGCTCAAACGTGGCTGCCGTCGACAGTTTCGATCGGTTCACATCCCTGGTAGTCCAATTGGTTGAGGGGCCAACCAAGACTCTCCGGTTTGACTCCTGCCCATAAGTACCACGCTGGTTGGGATGGAACAGGATGGAACCACATTTACGTTTCGGATCCTTTGAAGGTTGCCTCGTAGGATGTGTTCAAGATTCCCTGGCGAGAGAATTGTTTTCACCCTGGTAGGTAGTATGATGAACGTTCTCCTCTCGTGTTGGGTTTGCATGGTTTTGCTGCTGCATTCCAGTTGTGTTTCCATGGATGCCCATCCTGTTGGGAAAATCGGTGGTATATAGAATTGGAACAGCAAATCCTGTGCCAAACACATTTTGTGCGGGTTTCTGTTTTACTATACAGAGACTCCGCAGGAGTCAAGTCTATCGAATAGGGTGCCCAGATGCTAGACAAGAAACATGCCATTCATTTTGTAGAAAAGCACTGTGACCCTCAAATCCTGATGCTATACTGTAACTAAAGAAGATTAATGAACGCAAAACAAACACATATGTCAACGTTGCATTCTATAGAGGAAACATGAGTAGAAAAGAACACATGAAAATAGAGTGGCCGCTGCAGCATGCCTAAGACTGCGGGCCCTGTGGTGTCCAAAAGAGTAAACAAATATATTTCAACAAGATTTAACATAGGCATGACATTTGCAGCCCAGGAGTCAATACGTAAGAATGACAAACGTAGTGAAACGGGAAAAAAGCATCGCGGCTTGGTCGCTCCAAGTCGTTTTTGCGATGGCTCCACCCGCCAGATGTCCAACAATTTGCGGTATGCTCCTTTTTGTTCACTATGAAATCATGTTAGACAAGGTCCTCAGAAAGTTATTTGCATATTTCTGTGATACATACTCATACTCGACTATTGTCGTAACTGGTGCCTAGTTTTACACAATATATGTTCATGCATGTTTAGTTATTCCATGTGTCCAGTTTTGAGGATCATATGGACTTTTCAGGTGTACCCTCCAGGTTAATTCTCCCCAGAATTGAGACCCCCGTTGACCCCCAGGGCCCTGCTGGAATTCACAGAGGGATGATTCCTTCCACCAAGAAAGGAACTCGGAATCGAAGTACGTAGCTTGGGTGGCACCACGCTACTTCAAGACAGTGGAAGTTACTGTAGCATTCTTTCCGTTGCACGTGTGGCTTCCAAGGCAATGCACACAGCGGAAGCTCCGCTGTGAGCAGGAGGAGGTTGAGGCGGGGTTGTAGAGGCGGCATGGTGAGCCTAAAGGTTGCAGTAAGTGAAACAGATCGATTTCCAGGTACTGGTATCATTTCTATCGATTTTGTTGGACATCCAACTGTTGCCAAAAAATGATTTGGCCCACAGGAAGATCAGGAAAGTAGGCTTCAACCTGCATGCCGTTGTTTGGTGGGGACGTTGTAATCAGAAGGGCTGACACACAACTGAGTCTCCAAAGGACTTGGTCTTTGAGGTTGAGCCGAATTCCGAAAGTGTAACCCTTCAACCAGGCATCAAAAAAGTTGCTCCGCTGCATCGCCGAGCTCCCGCAACTGGGTTGGGAGTGGCGGAGATTTTGGCGCGAGGATGGCATGACAACTGAGACTGGTGGGAAGTAGCAAAAACAATGACATAATCGCTTTGTGTCCCTCAGATAGGTCAATTGACCGAGTGAGTTGCAAGTTATATAGAGAGTAAGTCACAAGGTCTCTCCATTTTGGGATCCATTTTCTTGCCAACGCACCAAGCCAGCAAAGCACAGCGAACGAACCGATTGCTTGACTTCGCTGTGACTTGAGACATTTGAGCTGCTGGGCAGCTTGGACGGAAAGCCACGCCCGCCCATAGGGGGGCTGAGTTGGCCCAGCCCGACTCTGAAGACTTGGAAATCAGGAATTCTTATTGCTAGTAGTGGTCCCCCCAAAATAGTAGACACGGTTTCCAATACATGTTGAAAGGGATTTTGCTTTTCTATCTATTTGGGGGTCTGTATATCCAGGATCCATGGATTTGGCTGGAAGGTGACACATATGTGACACAGTGTCACGGCAGCAACCGCAACGACCAACAAGAGAACGTGTGCAGGTTCAACCCCACCAAGAAAGAAAAAGAACAACAACCATGTCCACAGAATCCAACACGTATATAGTGAGGTAGTGCAAGTAGTGGTGCTCTATTTTGGGAGAGGGGGGGTAGGTTCTAGGCCACAAACTGAGCAGTTGGGGTCGAAGAGGATGACTCAAAGATACTTAAACATCTTCGGAGGTGGAGCCTCAACTCCTCGAGGCAGGGCAACGTTTGTAAGTTCCCCTGTCACAGCTTTGACAATTTGGATTCACATGACATGACATGAAGAGAACATTTGTTCCCTTTCGGAAAGCAGCGACTTGCACTGCGAATCTTGTTACGCGCAGCGATCACATGCGTTGCGCCTGGTTTGTGAGGCAATGGGACGAATTCTGCTGCGCGCTCTTCCGCTGTTTGCAGTTCTTCCTTCCAAAGGACGACGCCGACCTTGCCAAAGTCGCAGGGAAGTCTAGCCAGGACAGGGCCTGTTTTGAGCGACATGATTGAGAGAGGCCCCTAAGATATTATACAAGAATCACGTCCAGTTCATGGACAATGTCCAATGGAATGTTCATTATGATCCTTGTTTTGGATCACAAGTGAAGCAGGTGAATGATTTGGTCGCCGTGCGGACAGACCCAAGTCAAGGGGCGTCGAGTCCTGCCTACGTCCAGGAGCCCTTTCAGGAGCCTGAGCAAGTCCTGCCCGTGCTCCAGCAACTAGATGCACCGAGTCAGCAGGGGGGCAGCGGGCTGAGGCAGGTGCCCAGTGAAGTGTTCCTGGCGGCGCCGGTGGCGCCGAACCTATGGACCCGGGGATGCTGCTACATCCCCTGAAGCAGCCAAGGTAGTCACTAGTCAGGCATCTAGTCAGCCTGATTGGTCCGAGCTGACCACATTGGGGGGCGCCGTTGGGGACTGCCAATGGGAGGGCTGGTTTTGAGATTGTTCGTGAGGAACTTGGATTTGATGTTACCTAAGCTCACAAGGCCTTTATTATCGTTTAATTTATATAGTTATATAACATTTAATATATACTTATACAATCCTTTTCTGATCGTGCTTTTGTTGGAAGAGCCATGGGACCGATCGAAGGTTTTTACCTTTCACGGCGTCCTTGCTTCACAAAAAGAGCCACCTGGTTGTTTGTGTTTTTTGCTCTTTGCTGACTTGAGGAATCCGTGTTCCAGATCTTGACCAAGGCAAGCCTTGGCAAGCCGGAACCGTTCGCCGATGGTGGTCAGCGTGCCGACGGTTGATGACCGGTGACCCAACCGCCGTGGAGGTTGATCATGGGTTGCCGGGCTTACCAGCTGCAGGTCGTGCAGATATATTCAGATATGCTCGGTTTTCACGGAGGTCCATGGTTGTGTGAAGAGACGATGGGTGAACCGCACCATGTTCTTTAACCAATAGCTCCATATAGCTCCTTTTTCATCCTTGTTCAAACCTGAGTCCTGTACCAGCACACCGGCCCCTGACCACCAAGTCGAAAGACAAGAACTGTAGCTTGGTCAGTGTTCTTTTAACTGGTTGAAACGCCATCTATCCTACACACCCCAACCCTTTGGACGCTCGACCTGGGGACGTGGAACCACGCCTTGGCGTCGACTTCGACGCTCGCAGCCCGTGTCTCCGTCCGGCTCCAGGACTCGCCGGCGATCGGGACCGCCGAGCTGCGGCCCGAGTTCAGCCGGGTGAGGGCGCAGTCAGGCATGCTGGAAACACTGGGCTTCTGGGCGGAAGGACGGACCTGGGGCTGGTGAAGCTGTCCCGGACGCAGACGTGGTAGGCTGGGTCAGGCTGGGAGAGGCATGGCTGGGATGAGAGTAGGGATGAGAGTAGGGATGAGGCATTGGGAGGATGAACTGAGGGAAATTGAAGATCGTCTTTCAAGCAGGTCTGAAAAATTAGGGTACCTACAGCAGGCAGTGAGAGAGGAAAGGCTGAAGAGAGAGAGAGAGAGAGACCGGGAGAGAGAGAGAGAGTGATAGGTCAAGTGAAAGGTTTCGGGGGTTTGGAATAATTAGAAGGATAAATCATGGCTGTGGCTATGGCTGATTGGAGGAAGGTGACGACTTCCTCGTACCCCTTTCTGAAACATCCAATTTCCGTCCTCCACGTCAAACACATCGGACATTTGGCATGCTCCACTCTCGACGCAGTGGACTCTAGACCACCTTTTTTTGTAGAGGATCACCCAAGCCAACCCCGTCAAAGTGCCCAAATCTTTAATGTTTCATGTCATAATCCCATCGTTTTCAATGTCAACGTGCATAATTTCATACTTCTATGATCTGTTATGCATGTTCATCCTTTCTCTTTCCGCGGGTGCCGAACAACGGAAGTCACCATGGATCGGCAAGGTACACCCACCTCGCATCCACCTCACCTCTCAGGTCGTGAGACCCTGCTGGTTCTCAAGGAACACCTCACTGACTTGCGGATGATGTGTGTCATCAAGGTCCCCGTCCTTTTCGATCTTTTCGGTCGCGGCGTCGCACAGGGGTTGGGGGCAGAGCTTTTGGTGTGGCTCGAGAGGCCCCCGAGAGAGCTCGCCTAAAGCAGACTATGGGCAAAAGCATCGTCAATCTCATCAGAGTTGCTGTCCACTGTCTCAACGACCAGTGTGGCAATTTTGACAGGTTGTCACCATGCTCAAGAGTAAGCCAAGGGGACTGGTTTGCATGAGTGGACCCGTTCTATCAGCAGATTGTGCCAGAACGCTTTGATGGATTATTTGTCCATACCTGGGGACCCTAGCAGATTGACACGGGTTTCCTTTACTTTGGCGACGGCTCAACTAGGCCTCAACGAAATAGGGGGAAGCGGGAGGGTGAAGACACCCATGACATCCTTCCCATCCCATGCTATCGATCTATGATGCTCTATGTCTATGTCTTGGGTTTTGTCCGATTAATTACGTGTAGAGCCTGTAGAGCCGTCAGTAAACAAGCAAATCACTATTCGTGTAACAAGGCCTGCAACTGAACCATCATCATCCACTGTTACAGGTAATAGGACAGGCCCAATCTATATCGATTTATTTCATGTATCCAATTTCTCCACTGGGTGCCAGGCCTTGAGGGATGATCAAGTGGCAGAGGACGGCGAAGAGGAGGATGATGCTGACGCTGAGACTTCGCCACACTGAGAGATGCAGCTGCGGTGAGGTAGCGCGAGCCGAAAGAAGAGTAGAACACATCTCACTCACACCCTAACAAACCTCTCTCTAGTGACTCTAGTGCTCTCTTTTTTACCGCCATGTTCGGAACTAGGGATGTCAGGTAGTACACAGAGGATGGAATATATTATCGGTGAACGTTCTGTTCACTTGGCAATGGCCCAACGACCCTGCAGGTCTGTAGGAGAATCATAGAACATGTTAATCAATGATAATGATATATCATGATACAGATAATTATATACACTTGTTGAAGGCCTACCTATAGCCAAGAAGTAGACAAAGCCTCTTATATAAGAGGTGGGGGAACTTCTTTCTTGAAACCACCAGCACCTTACTCTTCTTTTGGTCTTCCACTCCCGGGTTTGTCATGTCACCTCTCAGGGAGCATCCATCGTGTTCGCCTCCCTCGGCGATCCGTTTGAACAACTCCGCGGACAAAGCAAGCGTGCACCGTCGGGCGTACAAAGCAAGCGTGCACCGTCGGGTTTTAGCCGGGATTCAAGTGCGGGATCTGAAGCACTCTCCTTCATTATTTCTGGCGATATCTTTCCTGCAGTTGTGAGTTTGTCGCATGATTCGTTTTAGATTTGGTCACCTTTCGGTTTCACCGCCAAAACAGGCGAGAACACGGTCACTGAGGTCATGGAGATGGACGTGCAGAAGGTCAAGGGCCATTTGCCCATATTGTTCGCCTCGCCCACCGCCTTCCGCTGATTCGCCAGGTCCCCAGAATTCGTCAGGTCAGTTTGGTAATGTATACTCTTGCTTAATAACCCTCCCCCCTTTGAATGTAAAAAACTCTTCAGATGGGGGAGTTATTAACCAAGAGCCTATATGAATTACCAGCATGTGCGAAAAAGTTCACGAGTGGAAGGACTGAACACTTAACCGGAAGGGCTGAACGCAGGAGATTTGGTAACATCCTCCAGGAGGATGTTGAAAGATGCAGCAATGCTGCAGCAATGGTTCTGGAATGTTCTGGACATTTCTGGACTACTGGCAATGTCCCTTTTTTTGTTGATGCTCATGGAGCCAAAACTATACTAGTAGCAGGCTATACTGCTTTGTTAGCAGCTGGGAGTCGGTATATAGATTTATATATATTTATATATTAACAATAATACATATGTGTCACTGTGTCACATGAAGCTCCTCAAGAACGATGAGGATGGACACCGGTCCCAAGTTAACTGTTTCCCCCAAATATGAGAATATGCACCGCAACCAAACTATTGAGGCATGAGCATCCATTAATTACCCAAGTTCGGAAGTTCATATGATTTCAATAACGTCCATCATTAGTAGTTGTGTAGGACTGAATATGTTCCTGGTTTTGTGTTTCCTGGTGTTGCAGCATTGTTTTTGATCATCAGTATGGCCAGCTAGTCAACCCGTATGAAGGTACCGTACTAGATGCTCAGTGAAATCTCCATGAAGTTGGTTTCATGCTTTCAGGATCTCTGATTCTCATCTTGGCAGTTGCTCCAACAATTTACGCAAGCAAAAGACCATCAGAAGAGCATTTCCTCGGCAACCTTTGCGGTTTCGAGGGTATTTGGGTTTCATGTCAAGCTTGTTTGCGTGCTAACTGCCAAGAGGCTGTAAGAGGGTAACTCGGTAACTCACCGTTGCCTCGCATTCCTGGGTGCATCTCAGGCGCATTGTGCAAGCCTATGTACATCACACAATGATGTTTCAGCGAAGCGTAGAAGACCCAAAACAAGCTCCAGACAGCAAATGCGATTAGGAACTCGTTTCCAACGGGTTTTCATAACTCTTGGAACAATCTTCCCACCTCCCAAAGAGAGACCATGCTTCAAATGCTAGCATTGGGATTTGACGCCGTCGCGCCCAGGCTGGCGACTCCGTGTGGCGGACGGTCCGTGCGTTCTGCTTTCGCACGGCGAAAATTCGAGGGAGGCCACCGGTCAGGTGTGTGGACTGAGAATGAGGTTGCCACTTGAAAAAGTCTGGATGCAGACTTCTCGGTGTGGTATTGAATAATACTATTGAATATGCAAATTCTTGAAACAAACGTGTATAATTATATATATGTACTTTATATGTATAGTTATTCATACCCTGTTTTTTTACATATAATATAGCATCGCTCCTGGATGAGTTGGGGGCAGGGGGTTCCAAGCTTCATGATGGCGTGAGGTGGTGCAGGAGTTCTTTGTGGATTTTGGTGCTCCCACCCACCTTGTGCAAACTCGTTCACGTTGGAGAGGGAGATTCAATGGTGTATTTTTGCCCAGGCGAGCTGCAATTTCGAGGGAGGGTTTATTCTTGGATGAGTCTGGAATGTGTGAAGGTGCAGTCAGTAGATTTTCTAGTGCAGTTGTGCACCGAACAATGTGGATTCACCACTCTGTTTGACTTGAATAGTCCCATCGCGATCATGAATCATTGTTCTTCCCTGCCATGCAGATCCACTCGGACGTGCATGGTCTTAAGGCAAAGCCCTCGTCCAAGCAGAAACTGTTTATTCTGCTCATGCCATTGGCATATGGCACCCCGTAGAACCCCCACAATGTTTAGCATGTTTAGCCCGGCATCAGTATATCATAGTATATCGGTGGTTCAGACATGTTCCTTCATGATCCAATCTGCGAAATGCATCCAGCTCTATAGCATCCTGCAACACATCCTGGCCAAAGGGTGGCTCTCCTGGGCCCAATTCGAGCAGTTGTTTAAGAGATCTGCAGAGCCAAACTCCACTGTACAAGCTATGCTCCCTGAATTAGGGCGCAATGTAATTGTGCAAGCCAGCCTTTGCCCAGAGAGCTCCAGCGCTGTGCCGTTGGAAGAAAAATGAAGCAAAAGATCCAGCAGTGCTACCCAACTGTGCAGATGTTGGAAGCGGTGGATGGACTTTTCTGGAGGGAACAAGGCGGTCAAGGACTAGTGACTAGTGCCGCCATGGCAGTGGTTTTGGAAGAGGGTTTTGCGCCAACTGAAATGCTATTTGGGACGGGCGCTGAGCTAATGTGGAATCCTGCCGGAGGTATCAATCAAGGTGCCTTTCTCCTGGCCTTGAGGCTCAAGATGCAGTATCAACCATCATCAACCACCAGATTCTCCCGGCCTTTTGCATGAGCAGTGATCAGCGAATCAGAGATCAGCGAATGGGTTTGGGTCACAACGTTTGACTCGCAGACGCCACACCCATCACACCCATCCCACTGTGAAGAAAACGACTCAACCCTTTCAGGAACGGTCCGATCCCACGATCACCGGCCCCTGCGGTCGCAGAAGTGATGCCGTGATCTCCTCCGATCGTCCGTCAGATGACTGAAGTTTGAGTGTTCGTCCCGGCTGAATCCTTCATCACTTGAGTTGCGCGGGCCTGGCTGGAAACCATGTTGTTGCCATTCAAGCTGTGACAGTCACACTCTCAAATCATATGAAGGCAGGCGAGTAGAAGGCCCAGGACAAACCGCACTTGAGCGGATGGAAGACACGGCAAGAAGACCTGGCTCAGCAAGTGGCGCCTGCCACGAAATCTGCACATCTAGATTCACACAGTGCTGCGCCTGCCACGAAATCTGCACATCGAGATTCACAAAGTGC